AGCCCAAATTCCTAAGGTTAGTGCTTGGTGCCACCAGCTCTGGCTCCTGCACACCTTTCTGACTTTTTGCCCCCAAAATCTGGGCTGTTTTTCATTCTTTTGTCTCCACAGCCTTCCCATTGGGCCCTCAATAAAGGCGTGATGTATGAACAATCAGCACTGGTTTGAGTGGTGGATCTGAGGCGAGCACTTGCCAAGCCAGACAACAGAATGAACTTTCCTGGCTCATTTTTTAGCACAAAAGAATGAAAGAAGAGTTGTTCCACACATACAAAACTTGTGTTTTTGCAGAGGGTCAGGGAAGCTAAGTAACCTGCCCAGGGTTTCACAGCTGGTTATGGCCGTTCGGTCACATACAGCCAGCTGCAGAACCCTAGAAAGGTTACCTAGCCTCTCTGAGCTTCTGTATCGTCATCTGCAGAACGGGATTGTGTGGACTTAGATGTACCGTATGTTCCACTGTCGTACTTTACTGCATTTTAGCTCAGAATATTCTTTATGTTCCTACACGACTTTTGTGGGGTTTTTTTTGTTTTTTTTTTTTGTTTTTTTTTTAAGATTTTATTTATTTATTTGACAGAGAGAGATCACAAGTAAACAGAGAGGCAGGCAGAGAGAGAGAGAGAGGGAAGCAGGCTCCCTGCTGAGCAGAGAGCCCGATGCGGGACTCGATCCCAGGACCCTGAGATCACGACCCGAGCCGAAGGCAGCGGCTTAACCCACTGAGCCACCCAGGCGCCCCCTACACGACTTTTGAAGTTGGAGAAATCTTTTCTAAAATGAGGTATGCAGAGACTTAACTATGGGCCAGGCCCTGTTATAAAAGCTTCACAAATATTAACTCATTTAATCTTTAACTCCCCTATCAGGTAGATTTAACTGTCCCATTTTACAGTTGAGGAAACAGAAGGGCGATGATTTAAAAACTTACCTGAGGTTACCTAGCTGATAAGTGGTAGAGCCGGGACTTGAGCCAGGCAAAGTGATTGTAGATTCCATGCATCTCACCTCTGTGCTGTCTTCCCCACAGCCTTGCAAAGTCCTGTCAGGTCACTTTCCACCCTTCATTCCTGATCAGCGTGTGGTGATTAGAGTGCATGTGTCGGCAGGGCTGACTTGATGGAGATCTCTGGAGGACCCAAAAGGTATATATATATAAGGATGTTAAAGGCAGGGAGTAGGGAAGTTTTAGAGGTTAGAAAGGGTAGTCACTGAAATAAGGGAAACCAGCTCTGCCTGCTTGAACAGGAAATACCTAGTGATCAAGCCTGCCTAGCTTCATGCCATCTGGCTTCCTCAGAGGCCAGCTGATGCCCGTTTATGGGTGTTGGTGAAGCTACCCTTTAAGTCACTGTCAGTAAAACAGAGGTTATTAAATTGTCTTCTAATCCATTCTGTTATTTTAAGCCACCAATGCATACATACACCCAAATATAACTAGAGCATAGAGAAATGAGATGGGAGAGAGGAGGAAGTTTGCCCTGGGCATGAATTTAGAGAGAACATGGATGTCCTTGTTTATAGTGGTTGTGTCACTCCTCTGGCCCTTAAAGCTGTTGGTAATTAATGACCCACAAAACTTATGCAGAAACTTCAAGCTCCCAGGATATTAATCATATGTAAGTAGCCAAAACAACAACAAAGCAAAAACAAAACTGCAAATGCAGAAGGTGACCACTATAGCTCAAGAAGTCCAGGACATGATGATTATAAAAGATACTTTGTGACCTGTTTTTAGCCATACAGGAAGTCTGTAAGGGCAGATTTATCAGCAAAGTGGAAAAAAACAGCTGAGAGTCTATAGACATTATTCATCATTATTAGAAAGAATGATGACTGAAATGAAACCCAACAGTAGAGTGCAGGGGGCAAGCCAAGATCTACAGTCCCAGAGAGTAGAGACACAAGGCCAGGAGGCTGATAGGGATCTGGAGTTAGAGGCAGCCCAAGTCATACTTATTTCATTGGTTCACAAAAGCACAGGTATCCTTCAGGTAGGGCCAAGCAGGCTGTACTGGCAAACCAACCCCTAGGATAGACATGTAGTTTACATAGTACATTTGTATCTACACTAGAAGCAAAAGAGATGATCAACCTGAATATGAAATTAAGAAAACAATTCCAGAGGTACCTGAGTGGCTCAGTCGGTTGAGCATCTAACTCATGATTTCAGCTCAGGTCATGAACTCGGTATTGTCAGATCAAGCCTAACATCCTCGCTCAGTGGTCATTCTGTTTCTCTCCCCATCTCTCCCTCTGTCCCTCCTCCTGCACACACTCGCTCTCTCTCTCTCTCTAAAATAAATGAATAAATCTTAAAAAAAAAAAAAAAAAAAAGGGGGTGCCTGGGTGGCTCAGTGGGTTAACTCTGCCTTTAGCTCAGGTCATGATCCTAGGGTCCTGGGATCGAGCCCCACATCTGGCTCCCTGCTTGGTGGGAAGCCTGCTTCCCCCTCTCCCACTCCCCCTGCTTGTGTTCCCTCTCTCACTGTGTCTCTCTCTGTCAAATAAATAAATAAAATCTTAAAAAAAAAAGAGAGAGAGAAAGAAAGAGAAAGAAAACAGTTCTGTTTACAGTAGCATCAAACAGCAGGGGCACCTGGGAGACTTAGTTAAGCATTTGCCTTCAGCTCAGGTCATGATCCCAGGGTCCTGGGATCAAGCCCTTCATCGGCCTCTCTGCTCAGCAGGGAGCCTGCTCCCCACCCCCCGCCCCCACCGCACCTCCGTCTCTCTCTCTGCCTGCCTCTCTGCCTACTTGTGATCTCTGTCAAATAAATAAATAAAACCTTTAAAAAATAAAATAAAGTATATGGTACAGACCCAGTGGAAAACAGTTTGGTGGTTCCTCAAAAAATTAAAAATCTACTATAGGGGGGTGCCTCTGTGGCTCAGTTGATTAAGCATCTGCCTTCAGCTCAGGTCATGATCCCAGGGTCCTGGGATGGAATCCCACATCAGGGTCCCTGCTCCGCAGGGAGCCTGCTTCTCCCTCTGCCTGCTGCTCCCCCTGCTTGTGCACGCTTGATCTCTCTCTGACAAATAAAATATTTTTTAAAAAATATTAAAAATCTGGCACACCTGGGTGGCTCAGTAGGTTAAGCCTCTGCTTTCGGCTCAGGTCATGATCTCAGGGTCCTGGGATCGAGTCCCGCATCGGGCTCTCTGCTCAGCAAGGAGCCTGCTTCCCCCTCTCTCTCTGCCTGCCTCTCTGCTTACTCGTGATCTCTCTCTCTGTCAAATAAACAAATAAAATCTTAAAAAATATATTAAGAATCTACCATATGATCTAGCAATTATATATCCCGGTATAAACCCAGAAGAATTGAAAGCAGAGTCTTGGGGCGGGGGGTGGTCCTGACGAGAGATTCAAACACCCATGTTCATAGTAACATTATTTCCAATAGCCAAAACATGGGAGCAGCCCAAATGTCTGTGTACAGATGAATAGATAAGCAAAATATGGTATATACATGGAATGGAATATTATTTGATCTTAAAAGGGGAGGAAATTCTGACACATGCTTCAACATAGATGAACTTGGAGGACGTTACACTAAGTGAAATAAGCCAACCACAAAAAGACAAATACTGTATGATTCCCCTTCTGCAAAGTACCTAGAGTAATATAGATATACTTTTAAAACAACAAGAAAGTAGAATGGTGGTTGCCAGGGCTGACGAGAGGGATTGGGATGAGGAGTTTAATGGGTACAGAGTTTCAGTTTTGCAAGATGGAGAGTTTTGGAGGTAGATGGTGGTTAACGGTTGCACAATATGAGCGTACTTCATATCACTGAACCTGTACACTTACAAGTGGTTAAGATGGTAAATTTTATGTGTATTTTGTCACAAAAAAAGAATTTAACTTGAAAAGAAATTGATAGTGACACAGCCTCATCCCTCTACTCTGACTCAGTGGGTCTGGAGTTATCAGTACCTAATACACAGCCAGAGTTGGGACCACTGGGTTAGTAGATGGGCTGCTATGGGGGGAAACCAGGTACCCTGAGCACACCCAAATCTCATCTTGGTTTCCAGGATGACTTTTCTTTAGGTTTGTTGTTGTTGTTTTGTTTTGTTGTTAAGTTTTAAAAACTTTTTTCGTTTAAATTCAGTTAATTAACATATACTGTATTATTGGCTTCAGAGGTACAGGCCTGAGACTCAATACCCAGTGCACATTACATCACATGCCCTCCTCGGTGTCCAGACTTTTGTTTAGTTTTGTTCTTTCCTTTTTTTTTTTTTTTTTAAGATTTTATTTATTTATTTATTAGAGAGAGCGCGCGCGCACAAGCTAGGGAGAGTGGCAGAGGGATGGGGGGAGAAGCAGACTCTCTGCTGAACAAGTAGCCCGACTTGGGGCTCGATCCCAGGACCCCAGGATCATGACCTGAGGGGAAGGCAGACACTTAAAAACTGAGTCACCCAGGCGCCCCAGTGGTGGAGTCTTTATAAAAAATGTCTTTATACGAAAAATAACATGTTAAACTTGTTGTTGCCAGTTTGGTAGTTGAAATCATTTGTTGTTGTTGTTGTTATTTTTTGTTTATAATGAATACTTTCCTATGCTACCATAAATTTTTAAGTTATAATCTGTGTAGTGCCTAGGTAGTTCTCTTCCAGCTTGTACTGGTTTTTGTTTCCCATCTTTTCCTTTCCCAGTATAATATCATAGCTTCATGAACTTTTACAGTTATGGCCCTGATGGATAAATGATTAGACCAGAGTCACACAAAACACAAAACATAAAGAAACAGAACAGAAGAGAGATTTGAACTCAACTTTCCTCATTTTTCATTCTTCCTTCTGCCAGTAGATGGATATTGCTGATATCCTTAAGTCTCTATGGGAAAAGGTTTGCAGCTTTTCATTCTAGAGCAGTGTTTCATTTGTGCTTTTGTGGCAGAGAACTTGTTGCTTCCGAATAAGTCCAGAAGGTAGCCTCAGCTGAGGGTGCCGTCCACTAATAGCCAGTATAATGCTTGCTGTTCCAGGAGCCATGTTTGACCAGGACTGTGGGAAGTTCGTATTCATGCTGGAGGCTCTTGTGAGGAGATGAGCTGGTGAACAGAGAAACCGGCATGAAGATGCTCCCAGGAGTGGGCGTGTTTGGGACCGGCAGCTCCGCCCGGGTTCTGGTCCCACTGCTGAGGGCAGAAGGGTTCACCGTGGAGGCCCTGTGGGGGAAGACTGAGGAGGAGGCAAAGCAGCTTGCCGAGGAGATGAACATCACCTTCTACACCAGCCGGACTGATGATGTCTTGCTGCATCAAGACGTGGATCTTGTGTGCATCAATATCCCCCCTCCACTGACGCGGCAGATATCTGTGAAGGCTCTAGGTATGGACAGTCAGGCCGTAGCAAGGGCAGGTTGTGTCTCCCTCTGGGTGGTCCTCGTATGTCACTGCTCTCCTCTATGCTGGGGGGGGGCCCACTGGGGGCGTGCTACAGCTGTGGGAAGAAATGCTCCAGCCTTCCTCACCTCCATAAGTAACTCCCTGAACAAAAATGAAGCAAACGCTTTAAGAGTTGGCCCCTCACAGGGGCTGGAGATTATTATATGCCGTGCAATGTGGTACTCGCCGTGGCAGCACACAGACTTTTCGTGCAATGTCAGGTTGGCCTGTTTGAAGTCAGAGTTCAAAGATTTGGGCAGTAGGAAACGGATTGTAACTGATGTGTTTGTTCTTCCATTTCCGTGGCACAGAGCACCTCAGAGAGGACAGGAAGGTGTGTAGCAAGGCTGCCATTTCCCATGTTTTGTCAGTCCTTCCCTAGATCAAGTGCACACCCTTCCTGCCACATTTTGCAATCTTGTGTGTGGGAAGGCAGGGAGGCTCTCTGACAGGGTCCACAGGACTGTCTGCTCACATCTCTGCCTCCTTGGGAAGGAGTAGACAGGGCAGGGCTTCCTGAGCTGTTCTCCTGCAATTGCTTTTGGGCTACTCTTCCCTGTCAACTGTAGGTGACTTTTTTTCTCTTTTTCTTATGTAAATCAGAATCTAATTGAATAGGAAAACAAGCCAGTAAATATTTATCCAGCAGTTACTTTTTTTTTTTTTTTTTTTAACACTGCCTTCTCTATGCCAGGCACTGTCCTGATGTCTTTCTATACATTCAGAGCAGTGTTGAATCAGAGCCCTGCCTGCCTTCAGATTGTACAGTTCAACTGAAGAGACTAGAGATCACATACATTACAAAGTAGATGAGAAAAGACTTGGGTCACAATTCAAGTAACATATAATTAATTGACAGAGAAGTTGTATTATGTAAAGTGGTAAGAACAAAATATTTCTCTAATGCAGTCAGTGATCTCGGGGCCCAGGGGCTTGTATGCCATGAGGCTTGACCCCTCCTCCTGGCCACTACCATGGTGGAGAATCCGAGCCTCTGCTACTTGTCCCCCTTGTTCTGAGGAGAAAAGAATGTCTGGCATCTCTGGCCCAGTGTGTTGGTAAAGATAAATGGTCATTGGAGTTTGCAAGAACGTGAGTCTGATGGTTAATTTGGGGGCATGTACATTTTGGCCAAATATTGTAGATGGTTTGTCTTTTTCAGAGAGCATTGTCTAAGGATGTGTGACAAGAGTTAGACACTAGATTCTTAGGAGGGCAGGTAACGGCTTTCAGATTTAGTTTAGAAGTCAGCCTAAGCCAACCCTTTAACAGACGGCTAGTGCCAGGGGATCAAGCTACCGTGGCCGTTTGATTGCTTGCCATCCCCATGGCATGAATGCAGGCTGGTGAAGCCAGGTGTATCCAGAGGCAGAGTAGTAGAGGCTCTCAGTCTTCTTAGAATTTAGGGTCCCCCCAGAAACTATTGCCAAGCTACATAGGAAGAAAGAGGAAACTCCAGGGTTCTTTGGCCAAAGGCCTGTGTTTTCTGGTTTGTGGTACAGGAAAATGCTGGACTTGCTTTTCATATAAACAGGAAGGACAGGGATGACCAGAGACTTCTGGGATCTTCTGTTTCAGCCCTTGGTGAACCTGCGTCAACTGTTCTCTGTCTTCTCTCTCTGCATCTCTGTCGTAGGAGATAAGGGTGTGAATGAGAGTCCTTGCTCTGTTGTAGGCACGCAGTCCCAGGGCCAGGTTGGTGGGTCTCGGAGAGCTCATTCTAGCTGGACCTCCCTTCAGGTACTGCCCACTCAAACCCCAGAGGAGTTGCTGAGCATATTATAACCATTAAGTTCACTCCCTGTGTCCTTTCACCATTTTGTTTTTAAGATTTGTTCATTTATTGGGGTACCTGGGTGATTAAGTAGTGGTAAGTGGGTGATTAAGCCTCTGCCTTTGGCTCAGATCATGATCTCAGGGTCCTGGGATTGAGACCCACATCAGGAATCTGCTCAGCAGGGAGTCCGCTTCCCCTCTCTCTCTGCCTACTTGTGATCTCTCTCTCTCTCTCTCTGTCAAATAAGTAAATAAAATCTTAAAAAAAAAAAAAAGATATGTTCATTTATTTGAGAGAGAGAAAGAGCATGCATGGGAGAGCATGGGGGTGGGGGAAGGGCCAGAGGGAGACAGAATCCCAAACAGACTCCCTGCTGAGCACGGAGCCCTACACAGGACTCAATCTCATGAGCCATTAGATCATGACTGGAGCTGAAATCAAGAATCCCACATTTAAGCGACTGTGCCACCCAGGTGCCCTCATTTTTTTTTTTAAAGATTTTATTTATTTATTTGGCAGAGAGAACAGCGAGGGGGGGAACATAAGCAGGGGGAGTGGGAGAGGGAGAAGCGGGCTTCCAGCTGAGCAGGGAGCCAGACATGGAACTCCATCCCAGGACCCCAGGACCATGACCTGAGCTGAAGACAGATGCCTAACGACTGAGCCAACCAGGTGCCCCTTTTTCCTTTTTTTTTTTTTTAAAGGATTTTTTTTTTTTTTTT